AGTCACACGATTTCAACAAGTACATTCATTTAAATTTAACAAATAAATTATTTTTTACAGTCAATTTTCAATTTATTAATTATAATAATTTTAATAGAGTACACAAGTACAATGTCAATAGACGACAACACGACGTGTCAGCAGCCGAAAAAATTTGCGGCGTTGTCAGACGTTCTCTCTCCCCTTGCCTCTTTAAGATTTCCCCCCGCTAACACTACCGAACCTCCTTAAATATTAGGTCGATAACAAAAAATGTGACGCAAATAAAGACATTGAAAATCAAATTTCAGCACAGTTTCAAAGTTATTTTCCCAACTTACATCGAGTAGAAAAAATGTATGTATGTAAAAGGAGCTGAATTCCTTTTCAAAGGATTGTACTAATGAATTCATTGACAATTCCTTTAATGACCTATGCAAGTATGTCTTATGTAAGAAGTTAATGAAAATGAATAATAAATGTTAATTTTTTATATTTCTGTGCGTATTATTATTTTATTTGTAACGTTGATTTATTAAGTTCGTTTATAACTAATGAATAAATGAATGAATAATAAGTAAATGAATAATAAATTTTGATCTCTTAATATATTTGTGTGTATCATTCATTACATTATTTATAACTTATGTTTCAATTGCCGTCGGCCATTTTATAGTGGAGGTTACTTAGGAGCGTGATTTTGATAATATATGTCAAAAGATGTTCCTTTAAAAGCAAATATTTATCGCTAACAAGGGAATATTAGATCCGTATTTTTCGTGTTATCGGCAATTCATTTATTGAATTTTATTTCGATTTCCGGCTTAAAGTCCTCTCTCCAACCATCCACGACGCCTTTCCGAATGAACATGCTTGTATTCATTTTTGCATCGCCCGATGGGAAGTTCACCATTTTATTTTCGCGGAAATTCTTTATGTTTAAGTGATCTACCAATTTAGTGATTTGTTCGTCATTGTAGTCTTTCCCGTAGAATGCGGCGACCTTTTGGATGCATCCGGATAAATTCTGACCAGAATACACAAAAGTATTATTTCGAAGGAATTCCAAAGGAATTCTCATTATATCTTGATTATTAATAATATAAATTAATATGTTTTAAATTGACTATCGTGTTATTGTCCTTTTTAAAAAATAACAGCAAATTTTATATTGAAACGAAACAGATTAAGATGACTTTTATAATTAAAATTTCACGATTTATCTTGATCAAATCTTCGTAAAAAATGAACAATGTGTTTGGTCTATGTCGTTTTGCCAAACCTCCCTTCACATGCTCCCAGTAAGAGCAAAAAATTGCTGATATCACGAAACAATGTTAATGACCATCGTGTATGTGGAGGATTAAAGGGGAGAAGTAAAAAGAAGATAAGAGAAATCAAGTTGCGAAATATTAATCTCAGCAAGCATTAAGTTGGAGTTATATAACTGTTATAATTTCCTACTCGAAAATATAACTGTTATATAACACGTATGTTATATTAGGTGAAGTAAAAAGTTCTGAGCGTTTTCCGCTAGATGTCTTTAGTGAGCCATATCTCACGATGTATACATCACATCGGGTCATATTATACGTCGATTTAAAGGTGACATTACGTTTCAAAACAAGTTCTGTGACAGTTTTGTGTTTGGTCAAAGCAGTTGCGTGTTACAGCGTTCCAAAATGGAGGTAAAAAAAGAGAAAATTCGATACATTCTTCAGTACCACTACGACCAAGGTGAAAAGGCGGAGCAGGCGGCCAAAAAAATTTTTGCTCTTTATGGACCCAATACAGTATCGAATACAACAGCAAAGCGATGGTTCTAACGATTCCGTTCTGGTAATATGGACGTCGAAGATGAGGCACGCTCTGGTAGGCCAATCGTCGAAAATGTCGATAAAATCATGGAAATCGTCGAGTCGGACTGGCATGTGAGTACTTATTCCATTGCCCAGGAACTGAAGACTAGCTAGAAAACCGTTTGGAACCATTTGCATAAGGCTGGTCTCAAGAAGAAGCTCGATGTATGGGTGCCACACAAATTGACGCAAAAGAACCTTTTGGACCGAATTGATGCCTGCGATTCTTTGCTGAAACGTAACGAAATCGACCAATTTTTGAAGCGGATGGTAACTGGTGATGAAAAATGGGTCACATACGAGAACAACAGCCGAAAAAGATCGTGGTCCAATCGCGGTGAGCCGGCCCAAACGATCGCCAAGCCCGGATTAACGGCCAAGAAGGTTTTGCTGTGTGTTTGGTGGGATTGGAAAGGAATCATCCACTATGAGCTGCTCCCATCGGG